ACGTCCGTTTGAAGTAATCGGAGTGGACGTTCTAGAAATGGGAATCACGACAAGGGGTAACAGATACATCGTTACCGTCGTAGACCATTTCACAAAGTATCTCGGCGCCTATCCTGTGCCAGATAAGAAAGCTGATACAATAGCAGAGGTGATTTTCAGCCAATGGATATGCATCGGAGGCCGGTGGCCTGAGTGCATACTCTCCGATCGCGGCGGTGAATTTGAGAATGCTATCATTGAAGCACTTTGCGAGATCCTGAAGATAAAACAAGACTTTACCAAGGGATATTGTCCCCGTGAAAACGGGTTGACTGAAAGAGTGAACGGAACTATCTCTCGCATGCTCAAGAAAAAGACTGTCGTTCCCGCAGAATGGGACAGAATCTTGCCGGCAGTAGTGTACGCATACAACGCATCCCCACACTCGGCAACGGGCGAAAGTCCTCATTTCTTGGTGTACGGACGCGATCCACAGTATCCGTCCTCGGTGATACCTAGGGAACACCTGTCATCCTACCAAGTCAATTATGATGACTATAAGACCGAGCTTCTTGCTGGACTAAAGTTGGCCCGTGAGTGTATTTCGGAGCGTGCTGAAAAGTACCGCACGGCAATGAAAAACAGCTATGACAAAAGGTGGAGCACCAACAAGTCCGAGGTTTTCCGGACAGGTGACAGAGTTTACATGAAGGTTCCAGCAGAAAAAGGGAAGTCTCCACATCCGAAATTGACGCATGAGTGGAGAGGGCCTTACCGAGTGTTGGAGGCGAGCGACAACTCAGCCCTTATCACACTCATAGGTGATAATGAGGAGCCACTCAGGATACAGTTCGACCATCTTGTTAAGGTGCCCCCAGAGATTGATGATACCCCCGTAAGAGGAAATACCTCAAGAGGACGAAGAGGGCGACCGAAAAAGATTAAACCGGTGGTGACTGAGCCGGCACCTCTCTCGAAAACACCAAAGAAAACACGTTCGGTTCGGAAGTGTAATCACATCTATTTCAGCAGCAGCCGTCGCTCCCACGCAGAAGACGTGGAAACAATTGACTTCTGTTGTCCTGGAACTTACATGCACCATAACCAGCATCTCTCTTGTGCGATGGCACGACCATGGGGAACGATCATCCCGAATGCACCGATTCCAGAGCTTATCACGAAGACACCGTACGAGCTCGGACGAGCAGTCACAATAGCAATGCAGACACATGTGCCAGATGCGGTGAAGCGTGATCTATTAGTGGATGACTCATATGTTACTTTATCTCCTACAGGTTTAGCCATTGCATATGCATATTTTCGTGGGGCGTGTATGCACCTTAGTCAGATGATTCGAGTAGCGCAGCTGGAGGCGAGGGAAAGCCACCCACATCGGAATGGGCACGAGGCGTTTGACGCGGATCGCGTTGTGTGGAAGGCCCTTAAGAGTTCGATCTTGTTGAAGCCATGGACTATCGATAGGTGGTCGGCCATTAGATGCAAGAGAACGATCATTCTGCTCCCAGCTGGATTCGAGAACCACACGGAAGGCTTCACCAAGGACTGGCAGAAGGCGTACTCGTACAAAGACCCCAAGGACATCTCTAGGCGCTGGTTTGAGGCAGAATTGTCAGCGATCGTGCTCTTTTCCCCGACCTACGAGGTACCTATGCAGGAATGGATTATTCCTTGGAAGGATATTATGCAGAGCGTCGTCGAGGGTACAGACCTCTTCCTTCTAGCAGGCCCTCAGGATGATTATGAATGGGGTGCGGGGGTGGATTTTCTGAGAGATCTGGCTGAGGAGACGGTGCGGCAGAGGCCTGCGTTAAAGCGTCGGATTATAGACCTGCTACCACGCAAGTCACGCGACGATGAGAGGGCGCCACATCGAATCTTGGGGATTCGAGGGAATACTAGCGTACCGTCGTACACGCCATCCCAGGCGAAGCGCTTCCTTAATGAGACCGTCATTTGTCAGGGCCTGCACCTGCGACTGCACCCTTATCGTAGAACACCGGAAGCGGAAGAGCGTTTCAGGCAGGCAGCAAGAGAAGACCAGCGTGGTCAACATCGGAACGGTGCGCCGCGGGCAAGAAACATGGGTGCCGGAAGGGCAACAGGTAGTCGGGGAGCGCCGAATAGAATCCCATACCGTCGCAGCGGACGTGGCGCTTTTAGAGGCAGAGGCTCCCCCTACAGTCGTATCAGGAATGCTCCCATTCGACGAAGATGGTAGG